ATTTGAGGTCGTTAAACGCCAGGATGCGAGCCGCTGGTGCATATGATATACCGCTGAATGATATATCACAGTTGCAAATTATCGAGGATTTAGCGAACGTCGGTGTATCTCCCCTTGTTTCGGTATTACAAAGGGCTCTCCACCGGTTCCTGTTGTTCGGTCCAGTGCTCTTGATAGCCAGAGAAATGTTAGGGTTTCTCTTGGCTGTTTACCGTAATATCGCGGGTAAGTATATATTTCTTCAGCTGTTTATCACTTTATTGATATTCCTTTGCTGCTTCTATACTAAGGCAGAGAAGAGACAATACGTGTGAGGGTGTTTTCTCTTTTATGCAAAGGAGAAAGAGAGAAGAAGAGTTAGTGAAAGAAATAGATGGAGAATGAGATGATGAATAACCTGTCTCACTAATGTAATTGATTTAGCAGGTGAGTATATCATTTTAGACAAAAAAAATGTTTCCGTATTTAAAAAAATAATAAAACATACGTGCTAGAAGGAAAAAAAAACACGTATGAAAGAAAACAAATCTTAAAAGAAAAAAAAACATGTATCAAAAGAAAAAAAATACGAATCAAAGATACACATATATACACATCAAAAGAGAAAAAAAAATACATACCTATTTAACGAGAAAACAAGCATTAAAAAAAATCAAGAGATATAAGAAAATCCCCACAAATTGGCAAGGGAGCTGTTAGACTTAAACAAGGCAATTCCCGATTCAAACTAGCCGGGACTCGGGGGCGCAAGGTGAGAAGGAGAAGGGTGACGTCACACAACGAGGAGGCTGAAATCGGTGAGATTGACCTCACGGATCCAGGTGAGTGCCAGGAGGGGTCACAGGGGGTCAGTGTGTGTATTTTTTTTAAGGGGGGAGGGGAGCTAGAAGATGGTTGGGTGATAAAGCTGATAGCGCCGATAAAACTGATACATTAATTCGTTGACTTTTTCTCTTTTTTATATAGAATTTAGTGTAAAATCAATATAGTAGGAAACACCTTGGTAAGAAAAAAAAATTGCTGTGCGCCACACTCGTACTTACTGCTTCATTTTTTATATAGAAATATTAATCTATTGAATAACAAACACTTAAATGAAGACCCGAGGTGATTCTACACTTGGGCATAAAGAGAAATTATTTGTGTATTGTAAGCATTCTCACAGATGTATATACATGTACTTATATGTGTATATATGTCCGCAAACACGCACACATCTTGCACAAGTGATCATTCCAAGAGGACATTGCGTATGTTCCCGTGGGTTGTTCTGATACGCTTTTTCATCCTTTTCCCACTCTCAACGAGGTCTTAGTTCTTCAGTTCTTCAAAGTTATTTATCTAAACTACTCTTCTCGCTCATCCAGTAGATTAATCTCACGCGGAGTCGATTATCCGAAGGCAATTATTGTTTTCATAATCACAGGTTGTGTATCGGTGTCATCTAGACCTGTATTCCCCCACTTTGTGTAGTCATTCCATCCACTTTAAAAGAACCCGGTTCTAGTGTTAAGCCTAATATCGACTGGAAACCATAGATTGTAATTTTCGAGGCCTGGAAATGATGTCAGGGCGGGGGAGGGGCGAGGGAGGGAGAGAAGGGGGGGGATCCTCTTTAGAGTAGTTCCCCCTTCAAGTTCGCTTCTCAGTTGCCGATGAGGCTTTATCCGTCCCCGAAATCCCTGAGGGCAAAAGCCTTCAATAGTTTGGTCTCCGAGATATATCACAGAAACTTCTGGATCACTGGAGTTGCGAAGTCTTCTTGGAAGCTCCTCAAGGAAAAGGAAAAGCAAAGAGAGAGAGAAAGAGAAAGGAAGAAAGAAAAGAGTGAGAAAGGAAGAAAGAAAATGAGTGAGGGGAGAGAGAGTGAGAAAGGAAGAAAGAACTTGAGTGAGGGGAGAGAGGAAGAGAGATAAAAAGGAAGAAAGAAAATGAGTGATGGGAGAGAGAGTGAGAAAGGAAGAAAGAAAATGAGTGAGGGGAGAGAGAGAGAGAGAAAGGAAGAAAGAGAATGGGAGAGAAAGAGAATCTGAAAGAAATACTCAAGCACGTACACAAACGCACAAAAACACGAAAAAACAGAGAGAGAGAGAGAAATGAAGAAAGAAAATGAATGAGGGAGGAGAAAGGATGAAAAATAATGACTGGGTGAGAAAGAGAGGAGAGAATCTGAAAAATTACCCAAACACGCACGCAAACGCACAAAAACACAGAAAAACAGAGAAAGAAAGGAAGAAAATGAGTGACGGAGAGAGAGAGAGAGAGAGAGAGAGAGAGAGAGAGAGAGAGAGAGAGAAGAGAGAGAAAAAGAAAAATGAGAAAGAGAAAGAGAATCTGAAAAAAAACATCAAACGTACACAAACGCACAAAAACACGAAAAAAAACACAGCTAATTCCCTCCAGCATCCCTACATCCCTACCAACCATCCGGAAAACACGACAACCCAACCTTATAAAAATAGAAAGAAAGAAAGAAAAGAAAAAAAAACTCATTACCTTT